ACGTCACTACCGTAATTAACTGTCTAGATGAATAAATTTGTTATTTCCAGTTCAACCGAACCTAATGAAATTTTGGTGGGCGCTTCTCACAGGTCTAATATTAAGCACTGACTCGCTGGTTTCAGAGGAGGAGAAGGATTCTGGGTATATGATAGTTTCATCACGTTTACCAAATCTCAGAAAGTTGCGGTTGCGGCCGAAGCGAAAAAAAGCCTCGGTTATACCCGTTTGTTTACGTCCTTTGTATCCTCAGAAGAAAAATTTCGTTAATCATTCATCTTCTGGACGGATTTTCTCTGGCCCAGGCGGAGGGGCTGTAATAAGGCAGTGATACATATACACCTGGAACAGCTCTCTTCCAGCGTTGAGAAGTTATCTTCCCTGATTCTGAGGAATCAATGTTGTGGGATATGTTTTGCTGCACTGGTGTGGTTGAGAGTTCAGAAGCTTCCAGGGACTTGGATTTCACATCGCAGCCATCGTGTGACAGGGAACTGCGCTGACAGTCGACGGAGCGGCCGAACCTCAGGAAATTGCGTGAAGGATCACGACCGAAACGTAGGAAGTTGCGACTTCGCTTCTCAAACAAGTCAGTGAGTTCATCGTTGCCATTAGTGCCGTAGTCGCCATACTTGCTGCGCCCGAATCTGATAAAATGAAAAATATTATTTTAATTGCGTGTTACATATATATATATATTATTTTTTTTTTTATTATCACACCGGCCGATTCCCACCAAGGCAGGGTGGCCCGAAAAAGAAAAACTTTCACCATCATTCACTCCATCACTGTCTTGCCAGAAGGGTGCTTTACACTACAGTTTTTAAACTGCAACATTAACACCCCTCCTTCAAGTGAAAGGCACTGTATTTCCCCTTCTCCGGGGACTCAAGTCCGGCCTCCCGGGTTTTCCCCTGAACCCCTTCATAAATGTTACTTTGCTCACACTCCAACAGCACGTCAAGTATTAAAAACCATTTGTCTCCATTCACCCCTATAAAACACGCTCACGCATGCCTGCTGGAAGTCCCAAACCCCCCGCACACAAAACCTCCTTTACCCCTCCCTCCAACCCTTCCTAGGCCGACCCTACCCGCCTTCCTTCCACTACAGCTGATACACTCTTGAAGTCATTCTGTTTCGCTCCATTCTCTCTACATGTCCCAACCACCTCACAACCCTTCCTCAGCCCTCTGGACAACAGTTTTGGTAATCCCGCACCTCCTCCTAACTTCCAAAAATACGAATTCTCTGCATTATATTCACACCACACATTGCCCTCAGACATGACATCTCCACTGCCTCCAGCCTTCTCCTCGCTGTAACATTCATCAACCCCCGCTTCACACCCATATAAAAGCGTTGGTAAAAAATATACTTCATACATTCCCCTCTTTCTCAAGGGCAAAGTTCTTTTTCTCCCCAGCTTTAAGTGCACCACTCACTCTTTTTCCCCATCAATTTATGATTCACCCCATCTTTCTAGACCCATCGCTGACAAGGCCCTCCCAAAATCGAATTCGTTTTCCCCCCCCCCCCAACTCTCCCCTCCAATCTGATATTCAATCTTTCATCACCCAATCTTTTTGTTTCCTCAAAACCCTTTTCTTTCCTGTATTCCCTTTTTTTTTCTTCTTTTGCACCCCCTACCAAATTCATCCACCCAAACTCTGCAATTCTCTTCAGAAATCTCCCCAAAAGCCAGTGTCATCAGCAAAGAGCAGCTGTGACCCCAAACCCCCCTTTGTGTGTGATTCTTTACTTTTTTAACTCCACGCCTCTTGCCAAGACCCTCGCATTTATTTCTCTTAAACCCCATCTATAAAAATATTAAAAAAACCCAGGTGCAAAAATCCTTGTCAAAGGCCCCTTTTTTACGGGGAAAAAATTTTCCCTTTTTTCTACATATCAAACTTGACCTACTATCCTGTAAAAACTTCACTCTTTCAGAAACCCAAACTCCTACACATACCTTGCAACATCTGCCACTTGCCCCCTATCCCCCCTGTCTACGCCTTTTCCCAAACCCTAAATGCCAAAAAAGACCTTTTTAGCTTTTAAAATATGTTACTTATATGTTTCACTGTAAACACCTGGTCCACACCCCCCCTACCTTTCCTAAAGCCCCCTTTGTTCATCTGCTACCCTTTTTCCCCCGTTTACTTTAATTCTTTCAATTTAACTCAAAATAATTTTAACCAGGTACACTAACAGACTTACCCCCCATTTTTTTTGCACTCTCTTTTACCCCCTTTGCCTTTATACAAAGGAACTATGCAGCTCTTTGCCAACCCCTAGGTCCCTTACCCCTCTTCATACATTTATTAAATAATTGCCCCAAACCACTCCAAAACTATATCCCCCCCGTTTTTAAAATTTTCTTCTTTATCCCATCAATCCGGCTCCCTTCCCCCCCCTTTCTTTTTACCTATCCCTCACGAATTTCCCCCACACTACAACTGGCTTTCCCCCTCACTCCTACAAAAATTTTTCTCCTTGCCCTATACACGAAATACAGTTTCCCCTATTTCATCAACATTTAAAAATTCCCCAAAATTTTCCCTTCATCTTCCCCAATACCTCAAACTCTCCATTTAAAAAACCTCCTTCCTTTTTTAACTGACAAATCCATTTGTTTCTGGCTTTTTTAAACTTGTTAATCTCACTCCAAATTTTTTCCCTTTTTTCAAAAAAAATTTGTTGAAAACATCTCACCACTTTCATTTGCTTCTTTTTACATTGCTTCACCACTTTTAACTTCTCTCTTTTTCTCCATATACTCTTCCCTCCTTGCTCATTCTTTTGTAAAAAACTTCTAATGTAACTTTTTCCCCCCTTTACTCTCCTTTACTTTCATCATTCCCCCAAATCCTCCCTCTTCCCTCCTGCCCCACTTTTGTAACCACAAATTTCGCTGAAAACTCAAACATACATTTTTAAACCTCCCCCATCCTCTTCGACCCATTCCCCTATGCTCTCTTTTGCCCATCTATCCTCCATAGCTTTTTATTCTTACCCTAACTGCCCCCCTTTTTTTGTTTAAAACCTTCACCTCTCTTTCCTGATGTTTCTTTTTCCCTTTGTATCCCATCTACCTTTTATCTCAGGTAGTACAACTAGAAAGTGATTGATAATTGTGGCCCCCCTATAAACATGTCTCCTGAAATCTACTCAACAGTCTTTTATCTACCAAAACTAATCAAAAAATACTGTCATTTGCCCCCCATTATCGTGTATACTTAATCCCTTTTTCTTAAAAATTTTACCCATAAAAACCCTTTCAACAAATTTTAATCAAAGGGTCCCATTTCATTTTCACGGACCCCAAAATTTCCTACCACACCCTCTCTAAAAGTTTCTCCCCTTTAGCATTTAAGTCCCTCCCATTTCTCTTCACTTGGGCAAAGGCTCCATAATTCATTAAAATCTCCCAAAATCTCTCTTCTCCTCTGCATTCCTCTCTTCTCAGGTGCATACACGCTTATTATGACCCCTTCTCGCATCCAAACCCTTTTCTTTAATCCAATAATTTTTTGAATTTTCACATTCATATTTCTTTTTCTCCTTCCTAACTGACATTTAACATTATGTACCCTTCCTTTTCTTAACTTTTTTCAGAACTCCCAATTTTTCCATTTTTTTCCCCCCCCAAAAAAAATCTCCCACCCCCCCTTTAGCTTTGTTTCGCTTAGGGGCCCGGGAATCCAACTTCTTTTCATTCATAAAATCAGCAATCATCTGTTTCTTGTCTCCGCATACATCCACGCACATTTAAGCAACCCAGTTTTATAAAGTTTTTTCTTCTTCCTTTTTTGTAATTGTATACAGGGAAGGGGTTACTAGCCCCTTGCTCCCGGGATTTTAGTCGCCCCAACGACACGAGGGGTTACGGGGGAAAAATTCTTTTCCACTTCCCCAGGAAATAGAAGAAATAAAAAGAAAAGAGTATTTTGAAAAAGGGGAGAAAAACCTAGATGTATGTATATATATATATCTGTGTGGTCTGTGAAGTGTGACCAAAGTGTAAATTGGGGTAGCAAAATATCCCCGTTATTTAGCGTGTTTATGGACGAAAAAGAAAACCGCAATCCTCCATCATGCAAAAAAAGTTCAGGGTTTTTTTTTCACAGTCATCGGCAGGACGGTAGACTTCCCTGGGTGTTATAATTTTTATATTATTATATTTAAAAATTATATATATATAAAATTTTAAAATTATATACAAACGTTGTTCTACGTCAACAGCAGGACTCGAACCTGCAAACTCTGTCTTGTCCCCAGTTTTTCCATGGAGCCGACCCCCGATAAGTATAGCACCTAGCCAAGTAGACGATTTTAACCATACCCCGGGCACCATACCCCGGGGCCCCCATACCCCCCGGGGCCCCCACCCCGGGGGAAATACCCGGGGCACCAGGGTTTTTTTCAAAATTATTTTCAAATCCTGCCACATTTCAGTGCCCCAAAGAAAGAGATTTGAAATGCTTAACAAATTTGCAAACAGGCGAAATTTTTTCATCGTCTCTACGAATATTACCCAAACCCCCCTGCCAGATGAAGTAAAATTTTCCCAAATTCGCCACTACCAAAATAAAAACTTGAAGTTTCTGCTGATGGCCGGGGACAGGACAAAAAAAGGAAGATCAGTAACCAACCCAGGGCCCCAGCAATGCAGGGTTGAGGGGGTATTCCCCCCAAAGGTACATTCTCCATTCCGCCCGAAGGTAGCATCCGTCACCTCTCACTACCCGCACATCACTCCTCTAAAATCAACAAACATGGCCGCTGTGGAAAATACTGTATATATTTTCCGGAAACAGTATTTATACGTAAATAGATGGCCATACTCTATTTAATATGTCATAGAAAACGGAAAGCCTGCTTCTGCGCAGAGGAGTCTAGCCATCTTGGTTTTGAATTGGATACAACGTTAATATAATGGGAAGAATTTTTCGTGCTCTAGAGGTTAAAATTGGGCTGACACCTCTCAAATAGGAGGCGAAATTGTTGGACATGCATTCCTGCATAACTTGAGATATCAGACGACTGGACAAGACAGCTCCAGGAACCTCAGATAAGCTCTCTAGATTTGTGTATAATTTTGGCCAGTGTTTTCATAAATTTAGTTAGTGAGGTTTTTGTGAGTATGATACAACTTAATATCCAGTCAAATTGGTGAGTGATATTAAGATATATTTTCCTTCTGTTATGTAACCATTTATTATTTTTAATATACAGTCCACAAATTTATATATTTACCAGCATTCCTGGTGATGTATATTTCATTTAATTAAGAGGTCCAGAGCAACTTGTGGATATGACAGTGGTAGGTATCGAAGGCGGACATTTTTTGCGACCTAGGTGTCCCAAATTCCTACTTGTCTAACTGATAAATAATAATTATCTGTTCATTTACTGTTATGCACATATGATACATTCAGCTAAATGCAATTTTCCACAGCCGCCATTCCGAACAACGAAGGCAACTCTTTCCATGAATTTGTTAATATGAAGATAAACGACCCAGAGGTAGCCAAAATCATCCGGATACAAGGTGGAAAAAACTTATATTATCTCCTGGAAAATGCAAGAGCTAAATACCTCCAGTGCTCACTGCCTAGACAAGATCACTAACCTGGAACAAAACACTCTGAGACTCAGGACACCATTTCCCTCCTCAGAGAACTGGTGACCCAACCTAACACTAACATCAAAGAAAATAAATCACGAGTGAACTTGCAACTTGCTGATGTCATTAATAACTATCAAGATCATACTAGCAGCAGCTCTTCGTTGCTGTTGTAGTTAACAGCCAACACCTCCCAGCATCCATAACCCAAGACACATGTATGCAGACCAACTTTCAACTGATCAAACACCTTAGTCAACATATCTAGTGATGAGAGTGTAAACCGATTGGTAAACAACCTGGCAAACTGTGCTGTTAAAATTCCGCTCTAGCTGAAAAAGATATGACCTGTTACAATCATCTATAACTACGAAAAACAGTGTGTATATCAATGAGCACTTTACCAAAGTGAGACAAATTCTTCTTTATAGACTAAGAAAACTGAGCCACAATAAAAATAATCCACCAGTGCTTTGCGAGGGATGGAAAATCACAGAAAAGAATCCTCAGGAAAGAGGCACTTCATAAATTATGAAGAATTAAGTAATGGTGTCCTTTCTGAATCAGAAAAGATGCAGTTTATACCCACTTATATCCACAAACAGTGTTATCAAACCTAGATTTGTAATTTCATTATTATGTTATATGGTATTTCAAAATCCATATAGTCTCTAAAATTCTAATATTTCTTATTGGTCTTTTGTGTCAGCTGTTGTTAACTAAATATTTCAGGCCCGGTGGCCTGGTAGTTAGAGCTCCCGCTTCACACACGGAGGACCCGGGTTCGATTCCCGGCGGGTGGAAACATTTCGACACGTTTCCTTACACCTGTTGTCCTGTTCACCTAGCAGCAAATAAGTGCCTGGGTGTTAGTCGACTGGTGTGGGTCGCATCCTGGGGGACAAGATTAAGGACCACATTGGAAATAAGTTAGACAGTCCTCGATGACGCACTGACTTTCTTGGGTTATCCTGGGTGGCTAACCCACCGGGTTAAAAATCCGAACGAAATCTTATCTTACCTCAGTTTTTATTGCTTATTTAGTCACTAGAAGTTCACTATTTTGTTTACTTAAGAAAGGTAAACATTTTTTTACTGTCTTTTATTAACAAATTTACATCCACTAAGCTTCTACAATTTTAAATTGTTTAGTAAAGAACCATACGCATTATATTTTTACCGTATTTCTTTAAATATTTACTGCAAATCATTTTATCTTATATTAGGGTACTTTAAGTTAAATTTTCTCTTTAGTATAGAACTGTACACATTTTTTACTGTCTAGTTTGAGCGGTAACAAGTCTAAATCAGGTACTAAACTGGTATAAAATCTAGTCTTAATAGTGTATTATACTTAATTAGTATTACAGCTTAATATATTTACTACTGCACACTTCAACACTATTCATTGACTAATACTTTTTCAATCATTCTTTTATCAGAAAATATTACTATTTCCACTTATAATCCATTTATAGATTATTATAATTTAATAATATTTACTAGTTAATCGTCTATAATCGCGCCTTGCCAATGTTAACTTAAATACTGAATGCTGACATCGACCTAAAATAATGGAAATCCCAACCAACATTTAACACAAGCCACTTCAGTCGTCAGTAATGCCAGGAATATTATTTTTACACAAGTAACCCAGGTAAACTACAGGTATACAGAGGAGAGGAGTTTACGACGACGTTTTGGTCCGACTTGGGCCATTTACAACGTCACACTGCGAGTTATTCGTGTATTGTTCCAGTCACGGTATTGTTTTTTTTCTATAACGATTTTTAAGTGCAGCATTAGAACTGTGATGACCTCCTGCACTCCTAGATTCCTTAATTACAATCTTCTCCCTTTTTATTTTTACTGAAACCTGGCTTAAGGGGCTTTTTGCAAGCACATCTAAATATCATTCACCCTTATACAAACATTGTATCATACTGAAATAAAGAATCTTTAATTTATATGGAAACTAGGGAATATACAAAGTGTTATGAAAGTTTTGGTACCAGAACTGAGTTTATATAAGAGATGTAATGAACCTAATCTAACATCATTCAAGAGAGAAATGCTAGATGAGTTTAGATCATAATATACAAAAGATCCCCAGGAATAAACAGTAAGGACATGTGATGAGAGGGAATCAGAAGACACAGATGGCATCTTAAAATTCGAATAAACTAAATGAATGTTACATAGAAATTCAGCGGGTGCGAGGTAGCAAATGCGTGAAACTAATTACTATGTAAATGTGGTATAGACAAACAATGCATGGAGTGGCTATGTTAAGCCCTGCAGAGGCACCCATCAATAATCACACATCTCTACATCCTCTGAACTCTTCTTCAACTTATCCTGTTCCTTTCCTTTCCAATACATTGATCTATTTTCTCTTCCCCCTCTCCATGTTCTTTCAAAGAATATTTGGATGTATTCCTTTTTTTTTATTGCCGTCACCCCCCCCCCCCCCCCTTGCCGTCTTCCTTACGATTTATTTGTCCGTTAATTCCATATATTATTTTAACTAGACTAACAGTGAAAGCATATTAATTAATCATTGGCTCACCTTAAGAAGTTTCTGTTAGGGAAATCTCCCTTCCAATACTGATGACCCACTTTGTAAAAGTCATCAACACTGCTCATCAATGGCTGGTTTTCATCGTTGCTGGAGATGTCTGGTGCTGCATCAACGGTGAGAGCGTAGGAACACCAAGGGAAGGTTTCTAGATGTATCCTGGCTGCTAGCAGCAAGATGCACAACCTGGCAGGGTGAGACAGGCATTGTTCAGGTGTTCTCGAAAACCATTTTACTGAGAATACATAAAACTATTTAAACACTCGAATACACACACACGCACATATTCAGACCAGGCCAAACACTGTCAGCACTCAACAACCAGCACTTCCAGAGTACATCTCATATTATTGAATACATAAACCCAGGGTAAGTTATAGTGAGCGACTGTCAATGAATATATAGAAGAATAGACCTTGGATTCGAACCTTGTTCATTACAGGTTCCTGGTCGAGCAATATAACCATCCAGCCACAACGGTTTTAATATAACGATTCGATCAGTGGCTTGCAGAGGGAAGGGGGGAGAAGGGCGATGCCCCCGGGCATCCAAATTGGGGGGCATACAATTAGAGAGACAAATAAGATAGTGATTTGGGGCATGCAATCAAGGAGTCTTTGGAGCATGCAATCAAAGACTTGGCCCTGGGCATCACGAGACCTCTGACGCCACTGGATTTTATAATGAAAATTTGTGTAACCTGGCTGTATCAGCCACCACCAACACTTATTTCACTGAACACTTATTTTGGTACCTCTTAATGAAAAAAAAATCATAGTTAACATCTATGAGAGATTATTCTCCATCGCAAAAGATCAAATTCTGACCAATTGTGCTACTTAGGTAGGTCTCACTCAGAAGTTTCAGGCATTTAAAAGTTTCAGACAAATAATGTTTACGTTTGTTCTTGAGTCAAGAAGTTGTAACAAATGTTCTTTCCTCTTACACTGGTACCTTAATGTGGAGAAAGACGCAAGGAATGTCGCCTTAAAACTACTGCAAGAAGTACAACTTTTTGGGAGATTGCTCTATTGCATTTATCCAAATTCTAAATCATTATTATTATTATTATTATTATTATTATTATTATTATTATTATTATTATTATTATTATTATTATTATATTAAATTATTTTATAATTATTATTTTAATATCAGTTTTATTATAATTTTTACCATTATGATCATCAATCATAATTAAGATCATCATCAATGAATTACAACACACAGGGACAAAGGCAATCAAAGTTCTAGGTAGATCTTGTTCCCGAGATCATTAGACTTTTTCCGTAATCCAGTGATCACCTTTAATGAGTTATTTTCTCACAGTAATTAATCGAAGATAAGTGTAAAGTGTTATAGAATTAAGATTGAGCGATGGACGGTCACAAGACACAAGAGAAGTTTGTATACAGTATGACAGCATTCTTCAGCATCGCTCAAGTAGACGCACTGTAGCTGACCAATCAGAAGACATTCTTTTTCCTTTAAGTTGGAAAAGCCTTCACTGTGACAGGCTATTGAAAGAGAGAGCCGATATTTAGACATTATGATGCAGGAAGCTTAGAATTACATGACCAATTAAGCTTGTTCATTGATTTCCATCACATCAACTGACGAGCATAGCAGATGATTATTTAATGATCTGCTATGTTTACAGTGAAGAACTTCCAAAGCATAGTGATAACATGTGACAACACTACTGTCTTGTTGATGCACTTGACCTAACGGAAAATTAAAAAAAATGGTTCAATATGCTTCCTCTTCCTCTATAGTATTTTGGGTCATACGATTGCGTAATGTAGTGGAAAATGTGGTAAAACATTTGTAAACCGCAATAGAAAAAATCAGTTTTATATAATCTTACGAAAATGCTGTTACATAAACGGGATTCGGTAGTGAATCAAGTCTGTATTGTTGGAAGTAGATTCCCATCTTCTGGAACTAGACTAAGACTGAATTGCTAGAAGAAGACTTTCTTGAGAAAGGCGAGAAACAGAACATCTGGTAAAGGACTATTTACTTTTGTGAACGAGATGATACTGTCAAACAGCGCATGAATGGGAGGAATGGAAATTTAATAATGCATTGTGAAGGAAGTCTGAGAACTGCTGACACATGAATCAATCATGAAAGATCATGAGCCAATGGAACAATGAGCTTAACTGCAACAAGAAAGATGTTTATTGCTGGATCGACAATCCTGAACTATTCTAATAAGACTAAAAATGATGTAATGAAAATATGAACTAAAATCATACCTAGAAATGTCGAGACGAGTTTATGATCTGTCTAGAAAGGAGTCAGTATTAGCACGTTGCCACCGGTGGACGATCCTTATTTTCTAGAAGCTCCTTTAACATAAGTGCTAACCAGCACAAGGTAGGAACCTAGTGTCAGTGACTTACCTTATCATAGTGGTTAAGTGTGTTTCGGAGACCAGAAAGGAGCAGGATTGCCTTCGTGGAAAGACGGAAGCTGAGTGAATGATCCCTGACTTTGTGGTTGGGTTATATCAACATGTTACTGTCCCCCCCTCCCCCCACCTCCTACAGTGTTTCTGTCACAGGGGAGGCTTATATATCTCACTTCATTTTTCAAATATGAAATACTTGTGGTAGCACAAGGGCACAAGGGATATTGTTTACATCAGAGTTTGAGTAATGATAAAAACTCTTCTAAATATGTAAACGTTATTCACTCATTCATTTTTATTCTCTCTCTCTCTCTCTCTCTCTCTCTCTCTCTCTCTCTCTCTCTCTCTCTATCTCTCCCTCTCTCTCTCTCCCCTCTCTCCTCTCTCTCTCTCTCCCTCTCCCTCTCTCTCTCTCCCTCTCTCTCCCCTCTCTCTCTCCCTCTCTCTCCCTCTCTCTCCCTCTCTCTCTCCCTCTCTCTCCCTCTCTCTCCCTCTCTCTCTCTCTCACTCAAAATATCCTGAGGAGCACATCAACCAAATAAAGCATATGAGCGCTTGTCAATCCTAAGAATAGGATTCTGAAACCTTAGTAAGGAGTCGTTCAAGACTGTACATCGTGTACGTCAGGAACATATTGGAGTATGAAGCACCAGTTTGGAACCCACACGTGCTCAAGCACGTCAAGAAATTAGAGAATGTGCAAGGGTTTGAAACAAGATTAGTCCCAGAGCTAAGGAGGTTAAGGGAAATCAACCTGATAACATTGGAGGACAGGAGGGATGGGGGGGGTACAAGATAACGACATATAAAATACTGCGAGGAATTGACAAGGATAAGGACAGGATGTCCTCGAGATTGGACACAGCAACAAGTTGAAGATCCAGATGAGTCAGAGGAATGCTTGGAAGCATTTCTTCAATCAGAGTTATCAGGAGGTGAAATAGGCTGGAAAGTGAAGTAGTGGATACAGGATCCATACATAGTTTTAAGATGAGGTACGATGAAGTTCATGGAGCAGGGAAAGAGAACCTAGTAGCGACCAGTGAAAGGGTGGGGCCAGGAGCTATGACTCGACTTCTGCAACCAAAATTAGGTGAGTAAACAAACACAAACTAATCTATAGACCAGTGCCACTGACGTGTAAAGTATGCAAAGTCAGGGAGAATATTATCAGGAGAGTGGTGGAGCACCTGGAATGGAACAAGGTTACAAACTACAGCCAGCATGGATTCATGGAGGGCAAATCCTGTGTCACAAACCTACTTGAGTTTTATTACAAGATAACTGAAGTAAGACATGAGAGGGAGGGGTGGGTCGATTGCATTTTCTTGGACTGCCAGAAGGCCTTTGACACAGTTCCTCACAAGAGATTAGTGCAGAAGCTAGAGGATCAGGCACGTATAACAGGAAGGGCACTACAATGGATCAGAGAATACCTGACAGGGAGGCAACAACGAGTCATGGTACATGATGAGGTACCACAGTGGGTGCCTGTGATGAGCGGGGTCCCACAGGGGTCAGTCCTAGGACCAGTGCCATTCTTGACGAAAGGGATTGATTCAGAAGTGTCCATATTTGCCGTTGTGAAGTTAATGAGAATTGAATCAGATGCGGACTAGACAGGTCTACAAAGAGACCTTGACAGGCCGGACGCGTGGTTCAGTAACTGGCTCATAGAATTTAACCCCGCCAAATGCAAAGTCATGAAGATCGGGGAAGGGCAAAGAAGACCGCCGACAGAGTGTAGGCTAGGCGGCCGAAGACTGCAAACCTCACTCAAGGAGAAAGTTCAAGGGGTGAGTATAACACCGAGCCCACATTAACCAAATAACTGTTTCGGCATTTGGGCGCCTGGCAAACCTGAGAATAGCGTTCCAATACCTCAGTAAGGAATCGTTCAAGACTCTATACACTGTGTACGTCAGGCACATACAGGGATACGCAGGTTTGCAAAAAGGCTGGTTCCAGAGCTAAGAGGAATGCCCTACGAAGAATGGTTAAGGGAAATTGGTCTGACGACACTGGAGGACAGGGGGATCAGGGGTGACAGGATGACGACATGCAAAATACTGCGAGGAATAGATAAGGTGGACAGAGGATGTTCTAGAGAGGGGACACAGAAACAAGGAGTCACAATTGGTAGTCGAAGACTCAGATGAACCAAAGGGATGTCAGGAAGTATTTATTCAGCCACAGAGTTGCTAGGTGGTGGAATAGTCTGGCAAGTGGAGGCAGGAACCACACATAGTTTTAAAGCGAGGTATGAAAAAGCTCATTGAACAGGGAGAGGGAGGACCCAGTAGTGGTCATTGAAGAGGCGGAGCCAGGAGCCGAGTCTCGACACCTGCAACCACAATTAGGCGAGTACAATTAGGTGAGTACACACACACACACACACACACACACACACACACACACACACACACACAGTGGGCACCTGTGACGAGCGGGGTCCCACAGGGGTCGGTCCTAGGACCAGTGCTATTTTTGGTATATGTGAACGACATGACGGAAGGGTTAGACTCAGAAGTGTCCCTGTTTGCAGATGATGTGAAGTTAATGAGGAGAATTAAATCTGATGAGGACCAGGCAGGACTTCAAAGAGACCTGGACAGACTGGACACCTGGTCCAGCAAATGGCTTCTCGAATTTAATCCTGCCAAATGCAAAGTCATGAAGATAGGGGAAGGGCACAGAAGACCACAGACAGAGTATAGGCTAGGTGGCCAAAGACTGCAAACCTCACTCAAGGAGAAAGATCTTGGGGTGAGTATAACACCGAGCATGTCTCCGGAAGCACACATCAATCAGATAACTGCTGCAGCATACGGGCGCCTGGCAAACCTGAGAACAGCATTCCGATACCTTAGTAAGGAATCATTCAAGACACTGTATACCGTGTATGTCAGGGCCATACTGGAGTATGCAGCACCTGTTAGGAAGCCGCACTTGATAAAGCACGTCAAGAAACTAGAGAAAGTACAAAGGTTTGCGACAAGGTTAGTTCCAGAGCTAAGGGGAATGTCCTATGAAGAAAGATTAAGGGAAATCGGCCTGACGACACTGGAAGACAGGAGGGTCAGGGGAGACATGATAACGACATATAAAATACTGCGTGGAATAGACAAGGTGGACAAAGACAGGATGTTCCAGGGAGGGGACACAGAAACAAGAGGCCACAATTGGAAGTTGAAGACACAAATGAGTCAGAGAGATAGTAGGAAGTATTTCTTCAGTCAGAGTTGTAAGGCAGTGGAATAGCCTAGAAAATGACGTAGTGGAGGCAGGAACCATACACAATTTTAAGACGAGGTTTGATAAAGCTCATGGAGCGGGGAGAGAGAGGGCCTAGTAGCAACCGGTGAAGAGGCGGGGCCAGGAGCTAGGACTCGACCCCTGCAACCACAAATAGGTGAGTACAAATAGGTGAGTACACACACACAGCTCAACATAAGATTTAAGGAAGTATTTACAGTGGAGACAGAAAGAACTCTGGAAAGCCAAAACAGGGGGGGGGGTACACCAACAAGGGAAATACCGACAAGTGTTGAATGAAATACAACCGAGGAGGAGGTGAAGAAGCTGCTAAGTGATCTTGATACCTCAAAGGCGGCAGGACCGGACATATCTCTCTGAGTCTTTAGAGAGGGAGCAGAGAGGCTGTGTGCACCACCAACAAAAATTTTCAACACATTCATTGAAACTGGGCAACTAGCTGAGGTATGGAAGATGGCAAATGTTGTCCCTATTTTTAAGAAAGGAGACAGACACAAGACACTAAACTATAGACCAGTGTCACTGACGTGTATAGTACGTAAAGTCATGGAAAATATTATCAGGAGGAGAGTGGTGGAGCACCTAGAATGGAACAAGTATATAAACGACAACCAACACGGATTCATGGAAGGCAAATCTAGTGTCACAAATCTACTGGAGTTTTCTGACAGGGTAACGGAAGTAGGGCACGAGAGTGAAGGGTCAGCCCTAGGATCAGCGGTATTTTTGGTATATGTGAATGACATGACGGAAGGGATAGACTCAGAAGTGTCCTTGTTCGCAGATGATGTGAAGTTAATGAGGAGAATTAAATCGGATGAGGATCAGGCAGGACTACAAAGAGACCCGGGCAGGTTGTAAGCTAGGTCCAGCAAATGGCTCCTCGAATTTAACCCCGCTAAATGCAAATTCATGAAGATCGGAGAAGGGCAAAGAAGACCACAGAGTATACTTACCCCAAGATCCTCTTCCTTGAGTGAGGTTTGCCGTCTTTGGTTACCTAGCCTATACTCTGCGGTCTTCTTTACCCTTCACCGATCTTCATGACTTTGAATCTGACAGGATTAAATTCAAGGAGCCAGTTGCTGGACCTGGTGTCCAACCTCTCCAGGTCTCTTTGTAGTCCTGCCTGATTCTCATCCGATTTAATTCTCCTCATTAACTTCACATCATCTGCAAACAAGGACACTTCTGAGTCTATCCCTTCCGTCATGTCATTCACATATACCAAAAATAGCACTGGTCCTAGGACTGACCCCTCTCTCTCGGGTCTTCCGTTATCTTGTCATAAAACTACAGTACATTAGTGACTCAGGATTTGTCTTCCATGAATCCAAGCTGGTTGTCGTTTATAAGCTTGTTCCGTTTGAGGTGTTCCACCACTCTCCTGATAAACTTCTCCATGATTTGTCATAATATACACTTCAGTGACATTGGTATATAGTTTACTGCCTTGTGCCTATCTCCTTTCTTAAAAATGGGAACTACATTTCCATACCTCAGATAGTTTCCCATTTTCAATGAATGTGTTGAAAATTGTTGTTAGTGGCACACACAGCATCTCTGCTCTCTCTCTAAGGGCCCACGAAGAGATGTCCGGTACCACTACCTTTGAGGTATCAAGAATCACTTAGCAGCTTCTTCACCTCATCCTCAGTTGTATTTCATCCAACACTTGTTGGTATATCCCTTTTAGGTGTACCTCCCTGTTCTGACTTCCAGTAGTCCTTTCTGTCTCATGTTGAAGTGTGTGTGTACTCACCTATTTGTGGTTGC